ACACACACACACACACACCAACGAGTGCACTCATCCATGACAGAAAATACCAGCAGCCAAATGTAATTTGTAATTTGTATAAGCCTTTATTTGACAACAGCAACATCTGCATAAATATAAATTGTTAAGTCAATAGAGACATAGTAGTGCAGTTAGATCCTGCCTTGAGACAGTATACAGTACAGTATTTATGATTCAACTGTGCATACAATATATGGTCTATTAAATACAAACGTGTGGAAGACATCACAAACCAGACAACTGAGGACCAACGAGGAAACAAAATGCTAAATTTGAAGTTGTGCTCACTCAGGAAAATAGCACGGCAGTGCGTCTTAAAATTAAGGAATTGTATTTAAATAACAAGTTTTCCTGTTTATTGTAGCAGCACCAGATTTGACATTTTAATGCATTCTGAGTGGAATTCCCCTTTAAGAGCACTATTAGCATCTCGATGTTCAGCCTGTTGGTCTAAGAGGTGGACTGCTGATCTAGGATTTCCGGCTCTAATGAATGAGACGGTCAAGGGAACCTGGCAGGAGGTTCCAGATCAGCGCAGAGAAGATTGAAAACCGCAGGCCCAGTTTTCATTATTGTACCACTCCCTGATATTACAGTGTTGTGGTCTCTTGGTGTACAAATAAAACGGATCCAAATGCAATCCACCGCAGAAAAACCTTCATAGATCACTACTGCTTGTCTGGATTAGCCTTTGATTTTAGGTATTTCTTATAGATTATACTGTTCTTTTTATTTATTTTTATTTATTATTAGTCTTCTATATAAAAATTCACGGAATCTACAAGATAACCAAAACTAAGACTATAGGACAGGCTTTTCAGAAAAATATAATTTATTTTATTTTCTCACTGGAGATCTGACAAGAATTAGGGTTCACATGGCATTGCCATTTTGTCCCATTTTTTCATCAGTAAAAACATTGTATAATTAAAACCAGTGATTTGTCAATAAACAACACAAAATAAACAACTCTGATTTGAGTATAAATATACCTGCTCTGATTTATAGCTAAAATAAGTATCATCATTTATTATTCTATGTGCTCCCTGATTAGGAACTTTTATTATATGGAGTGTCTAATTCCCCACTGGAGAAGTAATGGGCCGTTCCCTCTAGCCCTGCACTGACCTGTCAAGGTCGACGCGTCAGTGCACTGTTTCTTCTGAACACATCTTAAGATGATAGGCTAGATGATGCATTCACAGGTGGTAGTTGCACATACTGCTCTCGCTAAGGGCAGATAAGACATATAGCATGTATGTATAAATAATGGAGGATATCACTCTAATTGACAGGTTGTCAGTGACAGTGTGTTAATCTTAATGATAGACAATCATGATAAGGAAACATTTGCTGAGTCTCCAACAAGGACAGGAAGCTACTGAGTGATCATAATTACTAACCATGACACACTCATCTCAGTATATCTAATGTATCCATTAGTAGTCATTAGTATCCAGTAGCATAAACTGACCATTAAATTGTCTTATATTTATTATGTTAGCCTTCAGAGAGGTCCCAGTCATTTTGTGTGCTGTTACTCTGCCCAGTGTAGTGAAACACTGCATTTCAGCCTCATACTAAGTGTTTCTAGGGGTCTGGTAATCCTCTACTAATTATCATTACTTGCCCAAAATAAATTGAACAATGCTAAGCCAAAAACTGCAAAAATCAAAACAAACGCAGCCAATCCTTTCCCTCTATTATAACGGTTATATTAATGGCTGACCGGCCAGTTGTTGCTCTTTTAATGTGTAGTTACCATCACCACTTTGCACCTCTGAAGCTGTC